AGCTCAGCAGAATTTCAAAAGCTATTGGGAAAATTCTACAACCAAAGATTAATAAAAATGATAGCGACTATTGGATAATTCTTATGAAAAATAATTATCCATTATTGTCTAAAACCCAAAAATATCAATTATTAACAACATTACCTCCAAATTGGAGCATTCATAAAATTAAAAAACAATAATGCTTCGTTTTATATGATCCGTAATTCAAAATACATTCATAGTCATAAGGGAATTCTTTCAACTCCTAATCCCAAGGCAGGTAAAACTATAGATCAAAACACAGTTGACGTAGTTAAAAGTTTCTATATAAATGACGAATATAGTAGATTATTGCCCGGAAAAAAAGATTGCGTTTCTATAATTGAAAATGATGAAAGGATTAACGTTCAAAAAAGGTTAATTCTTAATAATTTAAAAGAAATCTATATAAATTTCAAAACTATCTACCCTACTCTTAAAATCGGATTTTCAAAATTCGCCTCATTGCGCCCTAAAAATTGCATAATGCCAGGTTCAAGTGGCTCTCACTCGGTTTGTGTCTGCCTAATCCATCAGAATGTTAAATTGCTAATAATAGGTAGCAATTTAGCAACTTTGACAAAAAATAGGGATTTTGAGATAAAGACTTACAAAGACATTGTCCTAGGGACCAAGCATTAAGGGCTAAATTAGAAAATTTATTAATTGCACATGATATATACAGGATAACGTTCAAGCAATGGATAACTGTAGATAGAACCAGTTTAGAGACCCTAACACAAACTGCTGACGAATTTCTTAATTACTTATTTGATAAAATATTTATTTTGATTCGCCATTCTTTTATTACTGAACAAAAAAACTGATTCCATCAGAATCTTAAAAACAACTTAGAGCTAGATCATTATTTGTTAGTTATCTGCGATTTTTCTGAAAATTACTCTTTTATACTTCAAGATGAAGTCCAAAGTTATCACTGGGCCACTTCTCAGGTTACCCTACATCCATTTGGTATATATTATAAAGTAAATAATGTATTAAATCATATAAGTTATGTGGCCATATCCGAGTCGCTGGTACATAACACTTGTTTATTTCATTTATTCCAAAAAAAAATGATAAATTTTCTAAAAAATTACTTTTTATCTGAGCCAAAATACATTAATTATTATTCCGATGGGTCCGCGGCGCAATATAAAAATAGAAAAAATTTTATAAATTTGTGTTATCATCAAGTGGACTTCGCCATCCCAGCAGAGTGACATTTTTTTCCTACTGACCATGGGAAAAATGTTTGCGATGGAATAGGGGGAACCGTTAAACGCTTGCCTGCGCGGGCCAGTTTACAACGTCCTTATGAAAATCAAATAAAATCTCCCTATGAATTCTTTAAATTCGCCAGAGGAAAATATTAAAAATATTTATTTTTCCTATACCATAAAGAATACCAAGATGAGCAAAAATTTTTAGAGGAACGATTTTCAAGAGCTCTTTCAATATCTGGGACTCAAAAAATTCATGCAGTCTATCCTGTTAATTTATCACAAATAAATACAAAAAAATATTCTAGTGCTATTGAAGTCAAATTAGAAAAAATCCAAAATATAAAGCGAAATATTAACTAAAGATATTAAAGGGTATGTTACATGTTTATATGATAATAAATGGTGGTTATCATTTAAAGAAATTTTAATAAAATTATTTTAAATATTTATATTATACGCTTATTATTAATTATTCGATAAATATTATATTATGGAATAAAAAAAATTTCTTAGAATGACTTTTTATGTTATAATTGATATTTTAAATTTCTTGCGCCATCTAGCGGAATTTTTTAAAATGCGATTTTATCTAATTAATTTTTTTGGCCCCACTCTGAAATTTTATATATGAACAGTTCTTGGTACTTTTTACAAAATATCTGAAATTTGGAAAAAAAAATTTAGTCTAACATTTTAAAAAATTAATTACAAATTTTTAACCGCAATTTAAAAAAAATATTTAAACTAAAAATTAATTTTATTTAACATACGTTCAAGAGTTTACTTAGGGCTATAAAATGAGCCATAATAAATATACATAGTGCATCTAATATAATAGTTATCTTAATTTTAAAAAATCATTTTTTTCGAAAAATGACCAAGTTGACCCACTTTGATGCCTTATATCTCCAATTCTAATAGAGTTAAGACTCTAATATTTTGGATTCGTCACTTACAATACTTTATTAACTTTAATACCAAATTTTAACAAAATCTGAGATGGTCGGGTTGTAAAGTGATTGATTTGATATGGAATGACCCTTTTATAATTTTTATAAATTCAATATAATATTCTTAAAATATTAGCTTTTTACATGTATTTTTTAAATAATAAGCGATAATACTCGCTGAAAAATATGGTAAAATACCTCATAGGTGAATTTTTGTATATACCAGGTACAATATAATTTTAAAAAATTCCGAGCCGGGCCTAAAATTTTTAAATCCGGGCCGTAAAAATTTTTTTAAAAAAATATCCGGGCCGGGCCTAAAAAAGTTAAAACCAGGCCGGGCCGTGCAAATGGTACCTCTGCAGGTCTGATATAAATTGAGCCTTTTTTAAACAATTAAACCATAGCCAATAAAGGAAAGAAATACCTTGGAAAGGGAAAGATAATTAATATCGCTAAATCAAAAAATAATCGCGTGTCTGTCTATATATAGTACACCAAATAAATCAAGTTTGATGAATATTCGGTCATTAAAGCAGTGTCCTAGCCTAGCTAAACATTAAGAAAAATAGAATGCTATCGAAAAAAAGAAAAATTTTGGAAGGTTTTTCGAATTGAAATTAGATGAAGGATCAATTTCGTCCAAAATAGATAGAACAATATAATAATAAAGCTAATAGAGATGGTTACAATTATGAGTAATATAACGTAAGATTAAGGTTTATAATTTCTGATCCTAAAATCTCATGTAATTAAGAAAATTAAGTATTTATCTTACTCAGATTAAAATTTATGTTCCTTCGAGAAATGTTAGATAGGTATTATCGTTTGTGTATATAATATAGATCTGTTTGACCCCAACTGCTGGAACTTAGTATTAAAAAATCGAGTCATTTTTTTAGGAAATTGAGATAAATATGCTAAAATTTAACAAAAATTAATTCAAGACTCTCAAAGAAGAAATTCAGAATAGGGCTACATGGACCTTATGATAAATAATAATGATAAAAACATACTTAGAAATCTTTATTAATATTCAATTATAAAACTATCTTTTCTTTCACGAGAACGTTAACTTGATTTTTCTAACTTCATCATGTTTCTTCCAATTTCGTCTAAAAACCCCAAGGTTTTTAGCCTATTTTTATAAACAAAAAATTTAATGTTCCGAACATATAATTCAATGGACTTATTTTTATCGTGTAATATAATTATAAATTATTTATGTCATTTATTACTTTATCTAGATTTATATATACATTTAACTGCAATCATTGATCATTTACATATCTTTACTGAACATGATTTTACTTTTTATACTGATTATTAGAGATCTGCAAAGTTAGGCCCGGCCCGTATCCGGCCCGAACGGGTTTCGGGCCAGGCTCGGGCCTAATTCTATTTAAAATAATCGGGTTCGGGCCGGGCCGGGCCTAATATTTTTAAAAAAATTCGGGCCGAGTAGGGTCGGACCTTGGAAATTTTTTTAAATATATCTAAATTTATCAATTTTATATTGAATTTTTTATGTAAAATAAAAATATTTGATTTTATTTATTGAAACTAAACTACATGTAACATATATGTCTTTTATTTTGAGTAATTATAAAAATTAATTTCTATATTTAAATAAATTCGGGCCGGGTTGGGTCGGTAATTTTTTTAAAAAATTCGGATTCGGGCCGGGCCGGCAAAACTTTTTTAAAAAATTTTTCGGGCCGGGCCAGCAAAACTTTTTTAAAAAAATTTCGGGCCGCGCCGGGCTTGAAAAATTAGGCCCGATGCAGATCACTACTGATTATACTTTTTACGTTAAATAAAATTAGTTATAAATAACGATAAATTTCAACTTAATGTATTGTTTGCTATTCAAAATTTTCCCCTAAGTTTGACTCTGATGGAACCCGGTGGAAGGCCCACAAAAGGAGTAATGGAGGCGCAGCTCCCATTTCCTTATAAGTAATAAATATTTATCCCCTATTTCAAATTTTTTTATCTGATCTTTTAAGGACTTTAAAAAAGACGGGGTAACATCCAATTTTAAATCCCAAATATAAAGGCGGATTTTATTTATAACTTTGAGTTAAATTATTATTGAATTATATTTGATATAATTTCAAAAATTCCGAAAAATAAAACACTCATTTATTATTGTATTCATAGTCAATTTGTTATCGTGATTTTAATATAAAAAATTTTTTTATAAACACTAAAATCGTAATAAAAAATAAGAAAGAAATTTCTAAATAAAAAAGCTACAATTTTCAGTTTGAAACCTAGACTAAAATTCTGGTTCCAGAAAAATATTTTTAAAAAAGTGGTTAGGTTCCTAAAATTTTGAAAAGTGGGTTCTAGTTCCGTTTTTAAATTTGACGAGGTTCCGAGGATTCCAGGTTCCAAACTCTGTTAAAGCAATAAAAATTGTCAAAAAATGTAAACGATAAATAAATCCTCTAAATGAATCCCAAAAAAAGATCCCATTTTTTATGAATTATGATCAAAATTTGGTTAATGAAAATATGGTTGCAATTTAGTGAGGTATTCTGAACACTTATATTTGATAATATAAATTCAAATTCACATATTGGTAGAAGAAAAAAATTGCAACTTCGTTGAAACTAGAAAAAGGGTTATTAAATCTAAAAAATAATTTTCGCTTTAAAATTGATTTGGCCTCGTAAGATAAAAATAAATTTGATGATTTGTCAAATTTCCTAATTTAGGTTAAATATAATTATTAACTGAAAACTGAGATTAAAATTTGCGATAATATTTCTTAATAAATATGAGATCGAAGAATTACCTAAGGGAGTAGTCACCCAAGAGCCATTAGGAGGGCCATCATTTTCAAATTGATTGGTCGTATCGTTTTTGGTGCTTGACGCTGATTGGAAGGAATCTTCTTCCAACTTTCGGCTAAGCTTTTGATTTTCGTTCTTAAGCCTTTGCACTAAAAGCGATAATTGGCTGGATTCCCCTTTCCAATCATCTTCCATCTGTTCGAGTTCCTTTTTAAAAATTATAAACCAACATCAATTTTAGAGCTAAATAAAAATGGATAATATTATTTAGTAAATTCTACAAGTTGCAATAATCTAATTATTAATGGATTAAGTGGGGGTATTTAAAAAAATCAAAACGATTAGTTTTTTCATAATAGTTCGTTTTTTAAAAAAATGATGAAAGACGTTTTTATTTTTGATATAGATCGTGAGCGCGTTTCTATTTTGACAAACGCGTTCGTGTTTGATGTATGTTCAATTTTTAAAAAATATTCTTATTTTTATTCATTTGAAAATGAAATATTTTAATTTAATATTAACCCAAATTTGTATTTAAGATATTTTCATTTAGCGGTATAAATATCTTTTATCGTTTTTATATATTTTATATAAGATACTAGTATCTGTATCTAAGATCCAATTTTTTATAAAGATGTATCTAGATTATTTTCCGGAGGATCTGTCCCTTAATTACATAATTATTGAATTTATATTATAATAAAACATATTAAAATATTCATTTTTACCTATTTACATTAATAACCAATGGAAAAATTTTAAAATGACAAATATGAAAATTATCACACTATTATATTATTATTAAATTTACATTAAAACAAATTTAAAATATTTATTTTTACCTATTTTTATTAATAAACACTAAAAAAGTTTTAAAATGACGATTATGATAATTCATATTTTTCAAAAGAAAAATTAGAATGAGAGAAATCTTTATTTCTTAATATCAATTAACCCATGAATGGTCACATTTTTTGCAGCGGATAAAAATTCTTGATTTTTTCAAATTTTATTTATTTTAGTCTAAGAAATTATAAAAAAAATCGGCATGAAAAATCTTAAATAGGATATCTGAACCGTTGCATATCTGCAACGTTAACCAATAGGGGTATAAAATAAGATAAAATTATATTATTACAAAATAGAAATACGATAATTTCAAATTTATTTACATATTTTATATTTATTTATAAGATACCATTTGTAATTTTATATTTTATGAAATTTTTAAACAATCAATATGTATTGGTATTTGTTAACACATGTTACATATATATATTTTGTCTGACTATGACAAAGCTTACAACGACGTCTTTTGTTATCGATAATAGTTGTAACATAATTATCATAAGAATTTTCAGGTGTTTCACTTAATGAGGAATATTAAACTAGGATGGACTTTACTTGTACTCACTTTTTATTTAACAGGAGAGTTTTCAAAAGTGTCGTAGTTATTTCGGCTGAAATGAGTAATGATTTTTTATCATCAGGATTCACTCGATTCCATAACTTCCATCAATTTACTACTGCTACATCAATAAAATTGCTTAGGCCACCACCATTCTTTACCTCAAATATTTATTCTATGTTGACACTATGTTATCGCACAGATCAAAGATACCCATATGGGAATTAATGGAATTTATTAGATTAGGTTGTATAATTTTTATTTATGAGAAAATCTTTAGAGAGAATCTTGATACGTTACATACAGGGCTAAGAGCTTTACATGTTGATGCTCACGATAGAACTTTCATTCCTTCGAACTATAATTATTTCATATGTCTTTTCAAATCGGTATTCGTAATAACCCCTCTCTTTTTTTGTCATAACTTTAATTGTTTCTAGGGGAGAATTTTTAAGTCTATATTCTCTTGTAGTTCCAGTTGCGAAAAATCCAAGATGCTTCAAATACGATAAAAGCCTTAAAGATGTAAAAAAAATTATCAAAGTGAATAGAATGCAAAGAATTAATTTGTAACAAAAGTACCTCCTAATCCAAGATTCAAAGCCATTAGTCTTCTACATTTTCCATGATATATAATAAATGCAAATATATATCCATCGGAGGAAGCAATGGTTAATGATTTATATCCAAATCGAATGGGTTTACCTTTGATAAAATTTTTACAGGAATGTCTTCCTCGATAAGGTATCATTTGCTCATTTACGCATAAATTATGTAAAAATATACCGAATTGTTGAAACTTTTATTTAGAAAATTTATATGGGCTGACTTTATAAAGAGTATCTTCTTCATTAAATGTTGACTTATTAGATAAATGTAGATTCCTTTTGATATCGCGAAATGTATGTTGTGTCACTAAATCTTAACTATTGTGTAGTAATATCAATATCATACGAACAATACATTCTTTCTTGCGGTAAGGAATGTTCAGTCAGCAAAAGAATTCCTACAAATTATTTCATCTCTGACTCGGCTGTAATAAAATTTGGTCTATTGTTTTGTTTGGAATATGTGATTGATCTACAAGCAGTGACATTTTTTGATCAAAAAATAATTCAAATATTTCTATTAAAGTTTTTCCGATCAAATCAAATTGAAATTCGATAAAAATTCATTATCGTTATCAATATAGGTCTCGATGTGTAAATTGGATCAGTTTTTCTCCATTTTAAATTATTTCAAAAATGTAATTTGCTTTCTTGATTTGTAGATGAGGTTTCTGAGACAATATCAAGCTGGATATTGGATTTCGATCCCTCCTGCAGTATCTAGTGCAAGATTAGGTGTTTCAGTTAGATAGTTTTCATCGAAATCTTCTTCATAACTAACTAAAACAGCATTAGGAGGTATAATTAGTTTTATAAACAGGGCCTTCATCGAAAAGCATTGATATAATAATATTTTAATATTATTTTAAAATATGGCAAATATAAAATGATAATAAAAAATTTACAAGTAATTTTTATCAAATAAAAATATATAATGAGAATAAGAATAAATTATGAATTTTCTGGATTTTTTAATAATTATGATGAAAGAATACTATTTTAGTTTAGTAAGAATATAAACAAAATAATATAATAAAATATCAGCCAAATTTTTTTTCGAAAAATTGATTTTTTTTTGAACCCTGGTCAACGTTGTATAAATGGTACAGAAAAAACATAGGATTATAAATCCGAGAATAGATAGAATGATGGGCCATAATTAATTAGAATAGGTTAAGATATCTATAAGTCAAAAAAATAAATACTCTTTCGGGCGCCTAAAACATATGGTATTTAAATAGTCCAAAATTGTCAACCTTCAATTGGCTAGCGCACTCAATTAATAATTTTTAAAAAATGTTTTTTTTTAATTTTATAGTACAATCTTAGATTAGAGCTATAAGAATCTTATGTGAAATTATTTCAATCAAAAAATTTATATGTGAAAAATTAATAAACAACAACTGTTGCAGATATGATACGTTGATCATTAATGGGTTAAATTACTTTTATTCTTAAAATAAATATAAAGTATTTTAAAATAAAACTCGAATAATTCATAAATTATCAATCATTTTCAATATTTTAGCCTAATAAATTTATATTGATATTGTCAAAAATAATTGGCTTATGCTTAGCTTGAGCCAATCAAAATCGTCTTCGGCTTAACTTGAGCCAATCAAAATCGTTTTAAACGTGAGCCAATCTCAATTGGCTTAAGCTTAGACTTAACAAAAAAAATAAATCAGCTTAGGCTTAGTATTAGCTAAAATAAATTGGCTATTACCGCACTATACTCGCCATAAACAAATAATAAACACACTTAAAATAAATTTATTAATTATTATAATATAATATATAATTAAAATTAGAACTTTAATTTTTTCAAGGGTCATAAAAAAATTAGAATTTTGGTTAACGTGAAAATTATAATTCAAAAAATTAATTAAACATTGAATAATAAATAATGCATATAGTTTTTAAATATATTGAATTTTAAATTAATAATCACTGGTTATCCAACTATAATATTTATAGTATGAAATTCCCACCTTTTGGAAAAAAAATTAATGATCAAAATACATCCTGGTAAGAGCAATATATTAATTAGAAGGTTTCTCATTCAAAAGAGAAGAAGTCCCAATCAAAAAAGGTAAAGTGTCTCATTCATAAAAGGAAAAGGTCACAAAAAAGGAAAAGATCCGATCAAAAAAGAAAAGGTTCAATAGGTCCTCCGATCAAAAAATGAAAAGTAAAAGCCTAATAAGCTTAAAAATGGGCAAAGGTCCGATCAAAAAAGGATTCAATCAAAGGAAGAGATCGATATTATCAAAGAAGGAAAATCTCTACTCAAAAAAGGAGAATCGTTATTATTTTACAATTTTTTTAAAAAAAAATTTGTTGTCAGTTTAATAATCCAATTCTGAAATATCATTTTTCTTAAATTTTTGGTTATTTTTGTTTCTTATTTATATAACTATTTGCGATCCCTACTTCATTTTTAATAATTTTTATTAGGAACTGTGCCGATATTTAATATCGGATTGAATCGGCACCAATATTTCGCGCTTTCGAAAAATATCGGATCGGGGCCATCTTATTTAAAAAGCTGATCCGATCCAATATTTTTTATTGTTTTTGGTTATATTTATAAAATAAGATAATAACATAATCAAATCTTGAGAGGGATTCAACAGGGAAGATCCCTTAGGCCATGTTCTCTTTTGCATTGGGATCCACAAAATAATCCAGGAAATTCAATCCAAATCCATCCTTACCTTAAATTCCTGGTATCTCGATGATGGAATTGTTGCGGGCAACCTCTCCACAATCCTGTCCATCCCAACCATCATCGAGGATCTCTTACATATTACAACATCACTTAATCTCCTCAAATGTCAAATTTGCTTTCTAAATCCTACATCTATTCTTTTAGGCACCACATACCATTTCATTAACAGAGATAAGATGACACATCTTGGCCGATAGGGGATGAAAAAGCTATCGAAACCTTTTTAAACAAATCCCTTAACAATTTGTCTAAATTAAACATATTTTTTAATTACTTCCCTGCTCATCAACCCAACTACTAAATATACCCAATTACATCCTGAGATCCTCATATTCATATTTGCTAGCTTCACATGAAATCCAAATCAACTCGAAAATATATTGAACATAAAATTTTCCTGTTCATCCTGGCTTCAGACCACCCTTCCCAGCAAGTCAGGTGGTATTGGTATCAGATTGCT